AGAAAGGGAACAGGAACTAGTAGTCTTCCCTCTAGAAGGTAGTTGGCTGTCAGACAGGATCCGTATGGGCTTACAGATGATCCACGTCTGCCAGAGTACCCCTTTAAAAGGATTAAACTGGTGTCTTTCCCTGGGTTGCAATTCCCTCTTGTAAACCCATACGGATCCTGTCTGACGGCCAACTACCTCCTAGAGGGAAGACCACTAGTTCCTGTTCCCTTTCTGATGACAACTGGATTATTGACATAAAGGCGCAATTTATATGTGCGTCCGGTGAGTGCGCATTATCTACCATATCACAGCACGGTCATCGGTCCATACTAACAAAGGAGCACAAGAGTCATTTTATAAACTGTGTAATGTATTGGATTGTTTTATTTTATATGAACTATTTAGCTGTTTATTTCATATTCTAATCATTGAGTTCTTAGCGCTGCACCTATGTTTATTATTTTATCCTGGTGTTTTTTTGGTTTTACCATTGTGCATTAGCTGCTTTTTTTTAGCGTGCTCACGAGTTCCTTTTATCTATATCCCAGATGTGAACATTGCCTTAAGGTAAAAAAAACACTTTAACTTTAGAACATTAACAATGTATATGGGTATATGGATTGTAGATCTGTTTATAGCGTGTAGTGCTGTGTTCATGTGGTGATGCTTTTAATACAAGATTAACACATACAAAGTTTTGAGTCAATATAATTAAATAAAAGGAGATACTGTTTTTGCAAATGTATTATGTTTGTGGATTCATGTTGAGGAGTTGTAGGATGAGCAAGCACTGGAATAAGTTTAGATCTTGTTTTTATGTGTTTATGTGGTGTTGTCTATGATACAAGTTTAACAGACACAAAGCTTCAAGTTCATATAATTAAATAAAAGAAGATACTATTTGTGTAAATGTATTATATTAAGTGTAGTGTTTTGCTCTTCCTTATCTCTGTTTCAGGGTTGATTTTTAGCAATTCTAAGAAATAGTTTACTGAGGAATGTTTAATTTATTATGCTGCATGTGGTAAACTAAAAACACCAAAATGTAATATATTGCAGCTTACCAATCATTAGATGTGGTGCCTGTATTAGGTTTTCTTTTTTAGCCCCTCCCCCCTTTTTATTACCTAGTGATGTGGCCAGTAACTCATCTCCTGTATTAGAGTGCCTCCACTCTAGATGAATGAGCACAGGGGGCACCTTTGGACAGCAGTATTGTTAGTCTGGGGAGGGGAGTGTAAGATGGACTAACAGATTTAGATACACTAAGCAAATTGAAGCCAAACTCCAGATAAGCAGTAACAGCATTAGTTCTATTCCTTTTAAGGTTTTACATAAATAAATAAAAGCTGATTATTGTAAGTACTCCTGTCAGTGTTAAATGGAAAATATACCACTTCTGTTTAAATAGTGCAACTTTGATGTGACTTGAATGCCAGAAAGCGTAAAGTCGCATCAAAGTTGCACTACATGAACAGAACTGTTATACTTTCCTATTAGCAATAAAAAAAAAAGTTGCATCAAAGTCGCACCCATCCAAAGTCACATCAAAGTTAATACTTTCCTATTGGCAAAAAAAACCCCCACATAGCGCATTACACATAAAAAAAGCAATACTTGCGTTTTTGATGTAGGTCCATTGAAGTCTAATACACCCAAAATGCAATCTGCTGCGGAAAAAATTCCCTAACCCTTTAAATAAAAAAAAAACAAAAAAAAAAAAATGCACTGGCTCAAAATGCACAGATGTGAAATACATCCTTAGGAAATCATGTCAAATGGACTGTAGTGCCTTTCTGCAAACTGGAAAACGAACTGAAATCCACATAAGTGTGAACCTGGGGTAACATCAAAGTGGGAACTGCAGTGTTATTTAGAGAAAGAATGACACTGAGCGAGCCAACGCTTGACATTTGTTGAAAGAATGGACTGAGGGAAGGATTTAGGGAACCAATCATGGTGGGTTATGCAGGAACGTGAATATTTATTATTACTCACTTGCTCTGATGAGGCTCTCCTGCAGTATGATACCTGGGTGTAGCTGCCAGGCTTCTTATACATTGGGTGAACTGCTGACATGTCAAACCTGGGGGGGAAAAAAAAACGGAAAAATAAGCATCATTGGGGGAGAAAGTTTAGGTGAATCTTGACTAGCCTATCCTGTGGGCAACGAGCAGAAGGTACAACAAAAACCATAGTTCTAAAAAGTTATGGTAAAGCAGTTCAAATTTTGCATAAGGTAGGGAAGGATACACATCTCTGTCCGAGGTCTCCCTGATGGGCAGATTTTAAGGCCCCTTTCAGACAGATGTTCCTTTGGGTCTATTTGTCAGTTTTTCTGGTGGACCTGATCAGAAGGTCCATTCACCCTTCTAGACAGGCAGGTGTAAACGGACTTGTGTGTTTATAACTGCATAGCTCCGGATCCGATCAAGCCCACTAAAAAAAAATAGGAGAGGACTCCGCCCTATTCCATTTAGGTGGAGTGGATCGAAGGTAGATGGGTGTAAACGGACAATGGAGTCCACTTACTCAAGGTCGCCCATAGAGCAGAGCGGGCTCTGTCCATAACTGCTGTGCAGAAACTCTGTCTCATGTGAAAGGGGTCTTATTCTCTTTCTTTGTGGTTCACCATGAAGGGAAGTGAGAAATCCCAACTCACTGTGCTAAAAGCCCTCTTAGATTGTAAGTTCCATGGAGCAGGGCCCTCCTAACCCTCTTGTATTGGATTGTATCGTTTCTGTATTGTTTCCATATATATTGTAAAGCGCTGAGCAAACTGTTGGTGCTATATACAGTTGCAAGAAAAAGTATGTGAACCCCTTGGGATTAGGTGGAGTTTTGCATGAATTGGGCAGAGAATATTGCAGCACGTTTGAAGTTTGCAAAAGAGCACCTGGATGTTCCACAGCACTACTGGCAAAATACACTGTGGACAGATGAAACCAAGATTGAGTTGTTTGGGAAGAACACACACAACACTATGTGTGGAGAAAAAAAAAGGCACAGCACACCAACATCAAAACCTCATCCCCACTGTAAAACATGGTGGAGGGAGCATCATGGTTTGGGGCTGCTTTGCTGCCTCAGGGCCTGGACGGATTGTTGTCATTGATGGGAAAATAAATTCAAGAGTTTATCAAGACATTTTGCAGGAAAACGTTCGACCATCTGTCCGCCAACTGAAGCTCCGCAGAGGATGGGTGATGCAACAGGACAATGACCCAAAGCATACAAGTAATTCAACAAAACAATGGCTGCAACAGCACAGAATACGCCTTCTGGAGTGGCCCAGTCAGAGTCCTGACCTCAACCCGATTGAAATGCTGTGGCATGACCTTAAGAGAGCGATTCACACCAGACATCCCAAGAATATTGCTACACTGAAACAGTTTTTGTGAAGAGGAGTGGTCCAAAATTACTCCAGATCGTTGTGCAGGTCTGATCTGCAACTACAGGAAAAGTTTGGTTGAGGTTATTGCTGCCAAAGGAGGGTCAACCAGTTATTAAGTCCAAAGGTTCACATACTTTTTCCTCCCTGCACTGTGAATGTTTACATGTTATGTGCAATTAAACCATGGCAACATCTAATGTTTGTGTAGTATTATGTTCAGCAGACTGTGTTCTTCTATTGTTGTGACTTAGATGACGTTCAGAGCACATTTTATGCCCAATTCATGCAAAACTCCACGTAATCCCAAGGGGTTCACATACTTTTTCTTGCAACTGTAAATCTTGTATAATAATAAGCCCAGTGTGCCCCAATAGACTACTATGACAACTTATTCAGACCAGCTGCAAAGTAGAGACGAAGAATGTGGCTGCTGATCCACTCCAGGTATATAGCCTGCATGCCTGGATCAATGACTCCTGCACATTCATGGAAGTGACGTCATCCCGCACCAGCCAAACAAGATGGACACAAAGTGACACCTAGAAGAAGCCAGGGAGAAGATGCAGGTGCTAGTAAGAGACCTGGCAGGTGTCAGACCTGTGGAGAAGAGGTAAGCTTTAATCTCGGTTCACACTACTACGACCTGAAAGTCACGTGACTTACAGTACAACTTTGTCTGGCAACTTGAGTACTACTTTGATGCGACTTTGAAAGGACTTTGAAGTGACCTTCAAGGGATGCCTGGGTAATCGTCCTGTAATGTCGGATCCAAATCACATTAATATACTGTAGATGAGGATCTGACTTGGAGGCAACTTCCATTAAAGTCTATGGGACAAGTCGGGATAGAAGTCACCTTGAAATAGTACAGGAACCTTTTCTAAAGTCGGAGCGACTGCTAATTAGGACAGCTCTCATTGACTAACATGAGATTTCACATGTCATGCAACTTGGGGGGTCTCACAAGTCAGATCCCAAGTCGCGGCAGTGTGAACCGAGCCTTACTGCGTTCAGTTCCACTTGAAAGGATTGGTTCACCTATTACACAAATTCCCTATGCTGCCCGTGAACACTATTCCATAATGCTAAAAAAAAAAAAAATCAGATTTAAAACAATAACTATGGGCCATAACTATGGGCTATTGAAGTGAAGCTGACCCCAAATGCTTCTGATTTCTCTAGGATGGCCAGCCATTAGGATGAGCGCCCCCTAGCAGTACAAAGAGTGAACACCGTCTTTCAGTCCTCATGCACACTGGACATTTTTTCAGCGGCTGTTAGCTTTGACGTTTTTTTTTTCTACAGCCAGAAAACCCCCCAGCATGTTATCCTATGTGTCCATGAACACAGACTGTAATCAACGTTTTTTGGCAGGGACATTTTTTTGGCTGGAATGCTGAAAAATGCGGCAAACCGGAAATTTTTTTGACCAAAAAAAAAAAAAAAAAAAAAGCTAAAAAAACCCACAACAAACGCAGAAAAACGCCAAAAAACTCACGTTTTTAAACGTAACTTTACACAGCTAACGTTTCCAGCATTATCAAAACGCCTAGGGTGCATGGAGCCTTAGAGCCCCACACAAGTCGCAGGAAACTCATCACAATGCACATGTGCAGGGCTCAGAAGAAGGACAGCACTCCTTCCTGTACTGCTAGGGAGTACTCACCCTAAGGCTAGGTTCTCATATGTGAGGGTGGTGCTGCTGCGGATCCGCACAAAAATCCGTACAGCTGCACCTCCCGCACAGAGAAATGCGGACCCGTGGGCAGGTGCCATTAGTTCTAATGGCACGCCTCCTGCACTGGAAATCGCAACCGCACTTGGAACCGAGGTTCCCGTGCGGGCTTTGGTTTCCAAAGAAGTGCAGGGACTTCTTCCCTGCATGTCCCGGGGCACGGGAGTCCATTCAAATGAATGGGCTCTCGTGCCTGTGCATAACGCGACCTGCAGGAACCTGAGTATATGAACCAGGGGTAATGGCTGGTCCGTCCTACAGAAGAGGTCAAGACAGAGATGTGAAAAATATTACAAGTGTTTGGTTCAGGCTTCACTCTGTGTACAAACGGCCTACAGGTATGGGAAGTACTTACTGTATGTACGTTGTTTTAAAACTTGGATTAGTTTAGAATTATGGAATGTTTTCTGTGGACTGCATAGAGTATTTTTCATAAAGGTGAAAGACCCTTTAAAGTGGAACTTATCTCTCCTCTCCATTACAGCCAAGAAAGTGGCCATCTTGGCCTCCTTTTGATCTGCAGTTGCCATGGTGCTGCACGTGATGAGCTATGACACCAGCCGTTTGATGACTTGACGGTTCTGTTGAGTAGGGATGAGCTCTGGTGTGTTCTGACATGAGTCCGAACCTACCCGATCTATCCTGCTGGGAATCTGTCAAAGCAAACAACCAATCATAGGCGGCGGGACGTTTATGTGTGTGGGTGCAGGCCAGGGAATGCCTCCATTGCCTATGATTGGCTGTCTGATTTGACAGCTTCCCAATAGGATAGCTCAGATGGGTTCATACTCGAGTCTGAACATGCCCGAACTAATCCCGGCTGTTGAGAGCGAACACAAGCACCTTAGTAACTGTATTCATTTATCATGCCTTCAATGTACTTGACTTGGGAGTCAGTTTAATCAATGGGTTTAGTTACACCAACCATGATTCACACTACTGCGACCTGAAAGGCGACTCAAGTACTACTTTGAATCAACTCTGAAGCAACTTTCAGGGGATGCCTGGGTAATCTTCCTGTCATGTCGGATCCGAATCACATCAATATAGATGAGGATCCAACTTGCAGGCAATTTCCATTAAAGTCTATGGGCACAAGTCAGATAGACGTCGCTTGAAGTAGTACAGGAACCTTTTCTAATGCCAGAGCGACTTCAGTAGTGCTAATTAAGACAACTCTCATTGGCTAACATGGGATTTCACATGTCATGCCACATGGGGTGTCACAAGTCGGATCCCAAGTCACAGCAGTGTGAACCAAGCCTTAAGCAGTTATAATGACAGTTTGTTTAGTTCCTTTTGGGATAAAGGTTTTTCATAAAAAAAAATAAAACCTGATCATTGTAAGCACCCCAGTCAGTGGTAAATGATTTGTCCCATCCCTCGAACGCAATGGTTCTTAACTTATTTTTGGGCCTTGGACCCCTTGAAGAATCAGATGAAAGCTATGGACCCCCATGATGATACAAATGGTAAACATAGGCCAACAAGGAGTCAAGAGGTGGTGAGCAGGTCGGCGCTATAAGCAGCAGAAGGGAGCATTTTTGTTCATTTCTTTCAATTGGAAACCATTTATTGGGACAAGGGGGGGCAGTATAGTGAATGCATAAGTTACTTGGCGGAGGATTGATACTTTTACCTCATAAGTAACGGGAAAATCATATGATATCAAGCAATTCATATCATGTCACAGGTTCCAGATTCATAGCAGCCAATTCCTAGGGTACCTTGCAACCAGGAGAGGGAACTTATGCTACCTAACACACTGGGCAAGAAGGCTCTCTGGACCTAGAAGCATATTACTGCACCCAAGGCTGATGTTTTACCTGAGAGGGATGACCTATACGTTTGGCTGATCCATATGCCTGGCCGATAATCTGAATGATTGCATACATGCGCATTTTAATGCACGGTCGGTGAGTGCGCATTTTGTCTATATGGTTCCAGTCACTTATCTAATGCTGAGGAGGTCTTCACAGCACTTTCGCTTGCAACCACTTTATATTATATAAGGAACTCTATGAACTTTTATTTACTTGTATTACAGCGCTGCACTATATTATTTATTATTCATAAGTTACTTTTAAACTGACTCTCATGACCCCCCCCCCCCCGAACCCATATAACCCAGACCCCTAAGTGGTCTATGGGCCCCAGGTTAAGAACCCCTGATTGAACTGCTACTTTATTTGGACAGTTTGGTCTGGAAAAATAAGTTTTTAAAATAACAGACTTACTGGCTGGATCACCAGGTGATAATAATAGAAAAAAAAAAAAAGTCTAAAAATAGAAAAAAAAAAAACTCATGCAGCCATCACATCTAAGGCTGCAATCACCCTTGAGCAATCTGTAGCTTGAAGCTCGACGCTCCCAAAATGCTGAAACTGAAAAAAAAATCAATTGTTCTCTATGGTGCCTACTTGCGCACTCAGGTGTGAACAGGCACCATAGAGAACAATTGATTTTTTTTAAGTTTGAGAGTTTTGGGAGCTTCAAGCTAGAAATCGCTCAAATACAGCCTCAGGTTTGGCATATTGCATAATAATTCTTAGTGGCACCCCACCCATATCAACATTGTATTAAGGGCCGGTTCACACCAGATGCCGTCCAGTGTGTTTTTTTTCTGCATCAAAAATGCATGGATAGTAGGTTATATTGTTTCCAATGGCATAGTTCACACCAGTGCGGTCAGTTCCAGAAGAAATGTAGAACATGCTGCATTTTGTTATGCCTGAACTGTACTGGAACAAAATAAAAGGCTTCACAAACACACCAGAATATACATGTCCTTATTTAAAGGTGAAGAATAAACGGGAGAAATTCACTGGAATGCATCAAAAATGCACCAGAATGCATCAAAAATGCACATGCAGAAACGCATCCAGACTGCTTTTCCATGGTGTGAACTGGCCCTCAAAGAAGTATAGACTCCAGAGTTATCATATTACCCCAATACAAATAATTTGTAACACCTCATCTGGAATATGCAGTTCAGTTTTGGGCACCAATTCACAAAAAGAACATTGGGGAACTGGAGAAAGGGCAGAGAAAAGGTACAGAGAAGGGCAACTAAACTGATAAGAGGCATGGAGGAGATCAACTATGAGGAAAGATTAGAGGAACTGAATGTATTCTCTCTTGAGAAGAGGAGATTAAGGGGGGATATGATCTCCATGTATAATACATAAGGGGGGATATGATCACCATGTATAATACATCAGTGGTTCATATAGTGTCCTCGGTGTAGAGCTATTCCCCCTGAGGTCATCACAGAGGACAAGGGGGCACTCTTTACATCTGGAGAAAAAGAAATGTAATCTCCAAACACGGAAAGGTTTCTTCACAGTGAGAGCTGTGAAAATGTGGGCGGCGCTGACTGGCGGCACTGATGGGGGTCACTGCAGGGCACTAATGATCAGTGCTGATCTGCTCTGTGATAGCTGCTGGTTTTCGGCAGTACTTTCCTCCCGCTGTGACAGCATGAGGAAAGTGCCGTTGATAACCGGCAACTTATTTTCTCCGTGATCTGCTGTGTCATTGTACACAGCTGATGATGTGGTAAACGCCGCTATGATTGGCCATTTACTTAATCACGTGATCAGCTGTGTCCATAGGACACAACGATCATGGAGATCGCCGGGTGCGCACTGCTGGGGGTGCGTTGTGGGAGGAGATCATATGATGCCCTCCCAGAACTGGACAACTGCGCTGTAGCCGTCATTCAGCTATAGCGCGGTTAGCAAGGGGTTAAAAAATGCCTGGATTCATTCCTGGATACACAGAATATATCTGCATACTAACATTTATAGGTAAAGCTGATCCAGGGAATATCCAATTGCCTCTCGGGGGATCAGGAAGGGATATTTTTCCCCTTCCCACATTGGATCATGCTTTGCTGGGATATTTGCCTTCCTCTGGATCACTGTGGGTATAGGATTGAGTATATGGAGGTTTTCTATTTATGTGTATTTTTTCCTCTCTGTTGGTTGAACTGGATGGACTTGTATCTTTTTCTACCAGATTAACTATGTGTGGACGTACGCCCCCCCACCCCCCCAAAAAAAAATACTGACTGGCAGATTTTTGTATTTTTTTGCTCACTGATCTATACTAAGCGTCTGTTTATGTGCCTGTGTGTACCGGTCCATTAAAAAGAATGGGCTGCATTTAGGTCAGTGAACAAAATTGCTGAATCCCTAACAATGTGGAGTTTGTCGGCGACCGGTGTGAGGCCTCCTAGTGTGCGGTCTGTACGACGGTGGTGTGAATGGCTCATTCATTTCCGATGTTCTCCGAGCTCCGTCTTGTATACCAGGACATGGAGAACACACACGGGTACAGCAGGCAGGAAAGCAGGGCCATCCTGAGCCTGTGTGATCAGGGAGAGGCCGATGTGCCAGCAATGATCAGACCGGGGGAGGGCACAGACAGCCCAGCCTGATCTCCGGACATAATCCGTGTGTTCTGCACGGTACACAGCAGAGGCGAGCATCGCACGTGCTGATCCGTGTGCGGCTGCTGGGCTCCATATCCCCGTCCATGTTACCTGGCACTCTGACAGCCGAAAGGCGCCCCGGTGAACTTCTTTTCCGCCATGCCGAGTCTTGTCTCCATGGTAACTGGACGCCTGTCAACAGCTCCAGGTTGTCGGTCACATGACTGCAGGTAGCGACCAGACTGGGCGGAGCGAAGTGACGTAACGTGTCACTCCTAGATACTGGGAATTCTGAGGGGGGTATAGAGGCTGCATTGGCTGGAAATACCAATTACCTGACTGCCATGGTGATGACACGGCTTCTGTACCTCCTGCACTGCCCTGGAACATGTATGCAGAAAACGTCTGACTTTCTATTCTGCATGCTCGTTCCCGGGCAATGACTGGAAAACCAGGAGATCAGCAGCCGGAGGACCTTTCTCGGTACAGGATTGCTGGAGTCTCCACACTACTGTCCTTCCAATGCCTTTACATGGCCATTGGGGCACTATAAGGCACGATTCTTCCTACTGGATTCAATGATGGCGCATTATTCCTTCCAATGACACCAACGATGGGGCGCTATTCCTTCCACTGACACCAGCGATGGGGCACTATTCCTTCCACTGACACCAGCGATGGGGCGCTATTCCTCCCACTGACACCAACGATGGGGTGCTATATCTCCCACAGACACCATCGATGGGGCGCTATTCCACTGACACCATTGATGGGGCGCTAT